ACTAATGTATACTGAATATTGAATCAAGGCATTGATAACAAGATTAAAATATCCTAATAATCCTCATATCTTATTCTTCAATTTTTCCCCCAACAATTATTAAAATAGTTATTTTGGCTCCTATTCTTTTTTTGGAATGATATTTTCATCACACAGACGGCCAACATAGAGAGGCGATGACAATGGTTGAGTTTATAGGCAGTGACAACGACGTTGGCAAAGATTGAGATTTGAGAAAGGGAATTTGAGATTTTTTTTTTGGATAAGTTGAATTTTATTTATCCAAGTAAAAGTACATCAAACAGCACTCATCCCAAAACAGGGAGTATAAACACCAATATACAACAAAACAAAGTTAGTCTATACTCCAAGAAGTACAAAGTCTAGAATTTACATAATCAATTCTATTAATATTTTTATCTTTAAGTTTGATCCGCACATGCTCCTTAATAGACTTGAGAAGATGATCGGTTGGTCTTGTTCCTCTGTTGAAGATTCTTCAGTTTCGTTCTTCCCATATGAAGTAAATAAAGGCCGTCCAAGCAATCCTCAATATGATAGAAAGCAAAGAATTTCCCTTCCATTTATGTGCAGCCCACTCAATTTGAGATTCCCAATTCCTGTGAGCATTTCTTATGTTTGAAAGCATCATAATAGAGTTCCAAAGAGAAGAAGCATAAAAACAGTAAAAAAAAAAGATGATTTCGGGATTCATTTATCTCATTACACAGAACACATATTATGTCAGAAGTAATGCCCATCCTAAAGAGTCTGTCACGAGTTGGAAGACGATCCAGAATAGCCATCCAAGTGATCATGCTGAATTTAGGAATATGATGAGGAAACCAAATCACTTTGTGCCAGTAAACCTTTTCTCTTGGAACTCTGATATCTTCCCAGATGTCTTTAGTACTCGAGATTCCAGCAGCAATCGTTGAGGTAGTATCATTCCTGAGTTTTAAAAGTTTTCTGATGGTCCAACTATAGGAAGTGGTAGCACTTATGTCACTTATAGCATTATTTTTAAAAACATAGCAGTAAATCCAAGCTACCCATAAATATCCCTGTCCAGCCAGAATTTTTCTGATAAGTTGAATCATACAGGCTTTATTCCAAGAGCGAATGTCCTTCAAGCCGAGTCCTCCTTCAGATTTGGGGCAACAAATTCGATCCCAGCTAATCCTAGCACCTTTGGCAGCAGTATCATTACCTTTCCAAAGGAATCTAGAGCAAAGTTGTTCAAGTCTATTGATAACTTTCTGAGGAAAGATAAATTGTCTATTCCAGAAGTTAATAACACTATGTAAAACAGTTTTAATAAGCTCTAGACGCCCAGCATAACTTAAATTTTTTCCAGACCATTGATGAAGTCTTTGTTTAATATTATCAAATAGAGGATGACAGTCTTTTTCAGTTATTTTCGTAGTGACCAGAGGAACACCAAGATACCTTACCGGAAGAAAGCCTTGTTTGAAACCAGTGGCGGATTTAATGGAATCAAGAATTCTGCTCGAAATACCAGCAGCAAAAAATTCAGTTTTGCTAACATTTAAGTTCAGACCAGATAGAACATAGAAATGATTGAGGACACTGATAACCCCCATAATAGAATCAAGGTTTCCTTTACAAAAGATTAAGAGGTCGTCAGCGAAAGCTAAATGGGTGATACCCAATTTTTTGCACTTAGGGTGATATCCATAAATACCTCTGGCAGCAGAAAGGTTGAGAAAATTAGAAAGAATATTCATAGCAATCACAAAAAGTGTTGGTGATAGGGGATCACCTTGTCTAATACCTCTATGTCCTTTAAAGTACCCTATGAGGCTACCATTGAAGGCTATGGAGTATCTAGCTTCTTTGAAACATGTTTCAATCCAACCTATGAAAATATAAGGTAACCCTATGGCTTTAAGAATAGAGGAAATGAAATCCCAATTGAGGGAGTCAAAGGCTTTTTGTAAGTCAATTTTGAGAGCACATCGAGGAGAAATATTTTTCCTTCCATAACCTTTTACCAATTCTTGAGCAAGAAGAGTGTTATCAATAATGGATCTACCTCTCACAAAAGCAGTTTCGTTGAGTGAAACAAGGTCAGGCAGCAGCTCATTCATTCTTTTAACAAGAATTTTTGAAATAGTTTTATACACAACCGAGCAGCAAGATATAGGTCTGTAATCCTTCACTTTGCTAGGGTTTTGGATTTTAGGAATCAAGGCAATAATGGTGGAATTAAAAGAAGGAATGATAGCAGTTTCTTTAAAGAAAAATTTAACAGCATTAACAAAATCTTCCCCTACCACAGACCAAGAATGTTTAAAAAGCAAAGGAGTGAACCCATCAGGTCCAGGAGCTTTATCATTCCCTTGATTAAATAAAGCCTCTTTGATCTCTTCAGAAGTAACAGTTTTAACCAAATCAGTAGCAACCTCATTAGGAACATGGAACTGAAGTAAATTTCTCAAGAAAGAAGGATCAGGAGGAATAACCGTATGATCAATTTTACCAAGTTGATGATTGAAGGAGTCAAGAATTTCATTTGCCATATCATCATAAGACTCTAATCTTCTCCCCTCATTGTTAATAAGAACCCTTATTGTGTCTCTTTTATGTTTAGAGGCAATGGCAGTATGAAAAAGTTTGGTACATTTGTCTTCATCCTTAACCCATTGCACTTTAGCTTTTTGTTTGAGGAACATATATTCCATGTCCTCCAAATCATTAAGATCCTTTTGGATTTTCAATTCTTCATCAAAAGAATTATTACCATTAAGAGTAGAAATTTGAATTTGCTCCAGCTCACTCCTCTTAAGTCTAACCCTAGCAGAGATGTCATTATAATTATCCTTGTTGAGTTTTTTCAAATTAGGCTTTAGGCGTTTAAGCTTAATAAACAATCTTTGCATAGGGTTTCCTTGGGTAGGTCGTTGCCAAGATTTAGTGATTTGTTCAAGAAAGTTAGGATGTTTAGTCCAGAAGTTGAAGAATTTAAAAGGCTTAGGCCTAGTGGTTTGAGTTTCTTTATTGATCCAAGCCAGAGCCATACAGTGGTCCAAAGGGCCAGGAGCAATAAATTCAACAAAAGAATTTTTAAAAGAAGAAGCCCAGGGAGGATTAATCATCACTCTATCAAGTTTCCTTGCAAGAAAGAAATCTTTTTACTTATTGTTCCAAGTATACGTTGGGCCAAAGAAAGGGTGATCAACAAGAGCAAGCTCTTGAACCAAATCTTTGAAATCATTCATATCAGAGGAAGAATAAGGACCTAGAAGAAGAGAGTCAGAGCTTTCTTTATAGTTCAGATAGGTATTGAAATCACCTCCCAGAATCCAAGGAAGGGTTCCAATCCTTGAATCTAACTCTTTAAGATGCTGCCAAAGAGATCTTCTAGAAATTCCATTGTTATTCCTATATATAACAGTGATAAAGAAAGAAGTATTATTATAGAGGCATTTAATAGTAATACTTTGATCAGTTGAAAGAAAGTGGGAGAGAACTATATCTTTTTTCCAGAGGAGCCAAATTCTACCATTTATAGCAAATTCAGAATTAGTAAAGACATTCCAGCTCCCTATAGAGAGAATAAAAGAAGCTAGAGAGAGATCGAATACACAATGAAGAAAGGGAAAATAGAGACGGTGGGGTTATGGAAAGGAGGTGGTGTTACAGTGAAGGTGAAGGTGAAGGTGAAGTTTGGGGGGAGAGAATTAAGACAATTTTAATATATCGTTTCTTTTATTTTATTAATTATTTTTATTTATTTAAATAAAAGAAATAAAAATTAAGAGGTGACATGGTGTATTTTGATTTTTTATCGAATTTGGTTTTTAACAAAATTAATAGTTTGAGATAAATGGGATAACGATTTAAATTTTAAGAGACAAAACGTCTCAAAAAATACTTTAAGTAGCAACTTAGTACAAATAGTATACTTCAATGGGTAATAATGCATTTAAGTCTTAATTTAATAAAATGTGTAAGTTTTAAGAACTAAAATTGTTATTATATTATATAACATCATTTTTTAAATCAACAATTAAATTTAACGAGCTACGAAGAAAAATAATAAAATATAACATTATAATTTTGAAAAAATAATTCAGTGCTCAAAATAAAATAAGTAAAGTACATAAATAGTCTCTCGATTATAAGATTTTGTTTTATTGAGTCATTCGACTATTAAAAGTGACAAAATAGTCCTTCAATTATAAGATGCTACTTTTTCAAGTCCCCTGACTATTAAAAGTTACAAAATGGTCACACAACTGTTCATTGTGTTTCAAACTTATTCTTTTTCATTAAAAAAATTGATAGTCAGCTGACCATTTTGTAACTTTTAATAGTCAGAGACTTAAAAAAATAATATCTTATAATCGAGGGATTATTTTACAATTTTTAATAATCGAAGAACTCAATAAAGTAATACTTTATAATAAAGGGACAATTTATGTACTTTACTCAATAAAAAAATAAGGAATAAGTGGGTAACTAAATTGATAAATCTTCATCTTGATAGTATTTTCTGATATTATGACTTGGTTAAATTACAAATTTAACAACTGAACTATAGTTTTTTTCTTATTTCATTCACTATACTTTAAATCATTTTTAATTTCTTCACTGATCTTAATATATTGAGTTTTTTGGTCATTTACTCATTAAATAGTTAATGACGTTAAAATGAGCAATTATATAAATACAAAACGACATCGTTTTGATAAATATTTTGTTTTTTTTAAAACAGCGTTGCTTTTAACTCTGTTGTATATTTAACGGCGGAGTGATAAAAATATAAAAGAGAGTAAAGTTCAGTAACAAAAATATTTAATATATTAAGTTTAGTGAGAACATTGAAAATTTTTAAAGTTCGGTGAGTAAAATAAGAGAGAAAATAAAAAATAGTGATGAAATTTGGAATTTACCCTTGTGACTTTTAGTTGCGAAAGTGAATTCTTTTTGTTAACACAGAAAATAGTGTTAAACCCTAAGCCCTTTCCCATTTCCAAGCGGCCTCAGACTTCCTCTCCAAGAAGACAAAGCTAAATTCAATACCTGCAACTTGATTCAGAAGCAGATATAATGAAGGTTGTTGCTTTAGTGAGCGGTGGAAAAGATAGCTGTTATGCTATGATGAAGTGCATCCAATACGGCCACCAGGTTTTTCTGCTGTTTCCCTGGAAATAAATCAACCGAATTTGAGATAAAAAAAACAAAAGATTTGGGACTTATAGGTTCTTAAAAGAAAAGGGTACCCTAAAGAAGTACTAGTTGATGCTTTCCCCCTTAGAATTTAAAATTTTAATGCTTTTTGCAACCCAAAAAAAAATAACAATAATAATATAGAAAGAAGAAGAAAGTTGACATTTTTATCGGTGTTTTGCTTTAGATTGTCGCTTTGGCTAATTTACTACCAACTGATGATTCAGTGGACGAGTTGGATAGCTACATGTATCAAACTGTAAGTCTCTGCCAATTCTTTAATGTTAAGAGTTTATAAAACCTGCATCTTTACTCGAGGTCGGCACGAATATTGAATGTTTTTCCCCCTTCACTGCAGGTAGGGCACCAAATAATTGTAAGCTATGCTGAATGCATGGGAGTGCCATTGTTCCGAAGGCGAATACAAGGATCCACAAGGCAAGCCCTTTAAACGAGTATGGTGGTAAAACCATGTATCTTATTCAGGGAATTTATGATCTTCACTTTGCATCACTATTATGAAAGGGTTAAAAATGCTATCTTTGTTCTTCATTTCATGATGGACTGGTTTGTTGTGTACTTCAGGCTTTTCCATATCTTCAGTTATGGTATTTCCTTCAAGTTTGTTTTATCTGTTATGGTACGGTTAAAACAGTTATATTAAGAACTTCGAAGGCTTTTCTGTGTATCCCTTTGTGTGGGTATATCATGATTGCCAGATTGTGCTAAGTATGATGCTTCTAGTCAAGTTAAACATTTCCCTTTCACTGCATAATGATTGGAATACAGCATAGGAAGTTTGTTAATCCATTTAGTAAGTAGGCATATCATGAAGAACTTTACTTTATATTTGGTACAAATGATCTCCCGATAGGTTGCTTCTTTGATTAGTTAGTTTTCACCCAAGAATACGCCCTTTCAACTTGGAAAATGTACATTATACGAATTTTGTTTTCTGAAGCTTTTGGTGACTATTGTAGGCACCAGAAACTTAGCTACCAAAAGACAGCAGGTGATGAAGTAGAAGATATGTTTATTTTGTTAAATGAAGTTAAGAAGCAGATACCTTCTGTCACAGCAGTTTCTTCTGGTGCAATTGCATCAGATTATCAAAGGCTACGAGTAGAAAGTGTTTGTTCAAGGTTAGGGCTTGTTTCTTTGGCATATTTGTGGAAACAAGATCAATCGTTGCTTCTCCAAGAAATGGTAATTTTAAATTTTGTTAATGTCAATACTTAATAAACATTTAGATAGTTTGTCTCACATATTATTATGTGTTCTTTCCTGTTCAGATAACAAATAGCATTATGGCTATCACAGTCAAGGTATGTAGTATCTTTGATTTTATCGTTCATATACTATTTGTTTAGAATCCTTGTGATGTCTTTTCTGCTTGTGCTATGTAGATTTGTTTTCTAGCTATTTATTTTATGAGATGCTTTGTCGTATCTATTTTAAATTGAACTATTTTGTTTCTTTGGGATCATCATGTAATAGGTTGCAGCTATGGGGTTGGACCCTTCAAAGCACTTGGGCAAAGAAATAGCATTCTTGAAACCTTATCTGCATAAATTGAAAGAGTATGTTCGTGCTGTTTTAACATTCAGTCTCTCTCAAATGAATGACGTAACTTCTAACGTTTAAAGTGTGATTGGAAACTTATATTTTTTTTTACTTTCAAACTCCCTTTTGGCAGCTTGTATGGAATAAATGTATGCGGTGAGGGAGGGGAGTATGAAACTCTGACTTTTGACTGCCCACTCTTCCGTGTAAGCTTTTCTGCTGACTGGTCTACCGGAAAAAGTTATTTTCCTTATATTTTTTGCTTCCTCCAACCCATCTTTCTTTCATCTTAGTAGTTTCTTTTATTTCTTTCCAAGTATTTAATCAGAAATCATGTTTTGAATAAGGGAGGTTTGCATTCCAGTTGCATTTAACAAATTCTTCGTTCACTATTTTTTCTGTCGTAACTATTAAGGTTTAAAATTTCTCAGAATGCTCGAATTGTGCTTGATGAATTCCAAGTTGTACTGCACTCTTCAGATTCCATAGCTCCAGTTGGAGTGTTGCATCCGTTGAAATTTCATTTGGAAAGAAAGGCATCCAACTCCTTAAGTGGTAATGACAAAACCAATGATCTCTGTTCCGAGAATATCAGTTCTGTATCCGAAGTGCTAGGAGAAAACCCAAAAGAATGCAAATCTCTGGGTGCGCCTGTACCTGAAGTTAGTGACTTGATTGAAGTTTCAAGGCATAGGCTTCACATCTCTAAAACAGAAAAAGATAATACATTTTCAATGTGTTGTTGGTTACAAGATCCATCAGGACCTTCAGCAGGTTAAAAAAAACGCTTAACAGATTTGCTTTTGTAATTCCTTGCTACATATTGTTCCTTTATATTTAAACGTTGTTTCCAAATACAACACTACAATTGATAACAGTTTTTGGTTACTTTTTGTTTGATAGGTTTACAGGAAGATCTGAAGTTGATCCTTGGACAAATTGAGTTGCAACTAGAAGGGTGTGGTTTAGGCTGGGAGCATGTGCTTTATATCCATCTCTACATTTCTGATATGGATCAGTTCACTCAAGCAAATGAGACCTATGTGAGATTTATTACCCAGGATAAATGCCCTTTTGGTGTTCCATCAAGAAGTACTATTGAACTGCCTTTAATTCAAGCGAGTTTAGGGAGAGCATATGTTGAAATTCTGGCTGCGAATGATCAGAGCAAGCAAGTTTTGCATGTTCAAAGTATTTCTTGCTGGGCACCAAGTTGCATTGGACCTTATAGTCAGGTACACTGAATCATGGCAATTGGAATCAATCAGTAAAGCTTCCTTTTTGTAGAATTTTTATACTTCATGCTTTTCCGAAAGAATATTGAAATGATTAGAAGTTGTCTGACCATTAAGATAACTGTTTTTTCCTTCTAACGGTCTGGTTGAATATTATTCTTGGTGGGTAGTGAAGCACAGTAATAGTTTTCTTCATGACAAGATGTTGAATTGGAAGCCACTCAGGAATCTTAAATTATCAAGATCCCATTAAAAAATGTTACGACTTTTTGTTTTTCGGGTGTGGACATGCCTGTTATTTCGATGAACGTGCATTGTTTACATCGCATGCAGCTAGTTGACTTTTAACCTGATCAATTTTAATTTTAGGCAACTTTGCATAAGGAGATACTACACATGGCTGGTCAGTTGGGACTCGATCCACCTACAATGACTATTTGTGATGGAGGGTCAACTGCAGAACTTGAGCAGGCACTGCAAAACAGTGAAGCAATAGCAGAATGCTTTAAGTGCTCGATATCTACTTCTGCTATCTTCTTTGTGGTTTACTGCTCTACTAACATCCCTTTAGATGAGAGACCAAAACTCCACGACAAGCTGGATACGTTTGTGAACCAACTTAAGCTGTCTCATTTGGGTAAAGATTCCAAGTCCAACGTGCTTGACCCTATTTTTCTTTATATTCTAGTTCCAGATCTTCCAAAAAGGTAAATGGTCCACACTTTGTGTGAACTTCTCAATGAATAATAAGTACCTACAGAAGGGCATTTCGTTTCGTCATCTTTTGTTTCTGATATTGCAGAGCACTTGTAGAAATAAAGCCAATCCTTTATGTCCTAGATACTGCAGAAACGCCCGAAGAAACTCCCAGTGAACTTTGTAGCGTAGTGGCGCGTAGTTCTTTCAGTTTTCAACCTGTAGAATGGCATGGTTCGTGTATTCAGAAATGTGTCATTCATGGAAAGATATGCGCGGTTGTTTTGTCTATCACAAGTGAAGTTGCTATGAAGGTTTGTTCTGATTCTCTGAAAGCCGATTGGAGCAACGGTAATCATCAGAAGTCTCTCACAGAGAGCCAAATGAAAAGAATAGCTAGATTTTGCATCTATCGTCTTGACAAAACCGTTATCGAAAATGGTTTCTCCTGGAATGACACTATGGTAAGTTTCCTAGCCAACCGCCAAATTTTCTTTCGACGTTGATTGTAAATGGAGTTATATCCCGTTGAACTATGGTTACAAAAATGCTTTTCCTGGAGTTCTGTCATTTATTTTATTAATTATCTTCGTCTATGTGTTGTTTTATTGTAGTTCCTCACGTTTGTTTCCCCCCATTTTCCCCCTAGATCTTGAGATTGTATGTCCCACAAAACATCCACATTCCGTTGGAGACGATATCAAGCTTGTTTGAGGACGCATTCAAGGAACTCGATCAGATGAATGGTGGTGCCAAAATTGGTGTGAAGCCTATCTTCAATCTTGTTCCGGTCCTAGGTGCCGGAAGATCTGCTGCATGCACAGAAGATATAATCACCTGTGAGCTGTTTGCTCGGAAATCTTGATCCTTGATGGATCAGCCAGTGAAGGAACTACTTTAAATGTAAGATTTCTTGTCATTGCTATCAATTCTTCTCATTTCAAGGAATATAAAGAATCTTGGTAAAGTCAAATTTAAATTATATCTCAAAGTACAAGCACAGTTGCTCATCATATCTCCTTATTTTCATAATCAATGGAGATATAGTTGTCAATTATGTTGTATGATGTGAATTCTTAATTTGAATAATTAAATTCATATATACGAATGCGTGTGTATATACATTTGATTATATAGATACCCATGTCGATATTTTATCGAATAAGGATTCCAAATAACATAGGTTGGGAATAGGACTGTAAATGAGACGATACATATCGTGAGTTACTCGAGATCGACTCGATCAAAGCTCGATAATTACTCGACTCGAGCTCGAGTTTGACTTGAGTTCTTAACGAGTCGAAACGAGTTACTTAATATTCGACTCGAAAATATAATATATTAAGATTTTATTCTAAAAAATAAATTATTAATAATATTAACATTTATGTGTTGATTTTTTTTTTAAAAATTCCAGTATAAGGTTTTATGTATTTAAGGTTCATGTTTAAGTTTGAGTTTGAAGTTTCAATCGAGTTAAGATTTTTTTTCATTTCAAGCTTTTATGAGTTTTAGTTTATGATTTTGAGTTCGAGTCAAGTTTGAAAATTTTAAGCTCGTTAGTTTTCGATTCGAGTTTCATTTCAGAGTTTTCGAGTCGAGTCGAGTCGAGCACAGAAATACTCATGCTCGACTCAACTCGTTTACAGCCCTAGTTATGGTGGTTTTCAGAGCTTGGGAATGTACCCTACAACATGGCACTATTGTACAGCTATAATTTTATGAAAATGACATTGGAGAAGGCTGAGATTGGAATTGTATACATGGCCATAAGTTACGGTGGTTTTCAGTAAAGAGGAACCAAATTTCTATAGGTTTTTGGTGGGAAATCCCAGCAAACAAGGGGGTGGGGGAGCAAATCATGATTGCAACGCCCGTACCCCCAAATGAACAAAATGCTAAAGTTTTCAGTAAATATTTTTTTATGGTAAAAAGAAAAAATATCTAAAATTATAAAGAAGTTTATAACCATATTCACATATAACTAGGATATTTTTCTATAACTATTGACACAAGAAATTAATTACTTGAGATCATCCAAGAATCATATAAAGAAAATGTTAAAAGATCTAACAAAAAACACGAACAAAGATAGATTAGATACAAATAAATTTGATTGCATCAGCAAATGAATCACTGAAAGATATTGATGAACGGTAAATCAGAGACAAACGATGTGAGAAATTATCCACAAACTTAATTGTACAACGAAATTCAATTCGATAACCCAAAATAGGAAAGATCGACATGAAAACAAAAAAGCGTCATCTTAATCTGTCGAGATGACATTGAATCTAACCCTGAAAAATATAATCGAAAAGAAATATCAAATGACCAACAAAAAAGACTAAAAACTTTGTTTAAAGAAAGAGAATGAAAACATACTAAAAGATTAAAAAAATACTATAAAGGTGAAAGAAAATAAATAAGTGTCATCTTGATTCGTCGATATGACATTGAATATAACCCTGATAAAAAAATAACCAAAAAGAAAGATCAAATGACCAACAAATAAGACTGAAAACTTTGTTTAAAAAAAGAGACTGAAAACTTACCGAAAGATAAAACTGCAGCAGGAGCTCGAGTTAGTTGGGATAGTATGTGCCTCACCAAATCAAAAGGTGGTTTAGGTCTGATTAATACATCAATTTGGAACCGAGCATGCACTATAAGCCTCATTAGGAAGGTTCTTGCTGGAAATGGTTCACTGTGGGTTGCGTGGGTTCACAATTACGTTCTTAAAGGGCAGGATTTCTGGCAATTTAAGGCTGGATCAAACGTTAGTTGGGGCATCAAAAGAATTTTAAAATTGAGAACTACTGCTTTCCCTTTAATCGCTTCTGGTTTCATGCGTACAAAGGAAATCTGTGAGAACATTCAGATGCAAGTGCAGAAGGTTATTTGGCAGCGTCTAATATGGTATCCATTGCATATTCCAAAGCATAGCTTGATTGCTTGGATGACCATTTTGAATCGACTACCTACAAGAGATCGTTTACAAAAAATGGGAATTAGCACGGATGGTCTTTGTATAAACTGCAGCGCCCATCAAGAAACGAGAGATCATCTTTTCTCTAATTGCTCCTTGGCTGCTGGTATATGGAAATCTATCATTATCATGAATGGGATGAACTTTTCTGCTTTGACATGGGATGAAATGGTAGCTCGTGCTTGTTCCTCTTGGAAAGGAAAGTCCCTCTTAACTACCATTTTGAAGATATCTTGGAATGCTTTCATATATTTCTTGTGGCAAGAACGGAATCAGAGATTATTTCAGGGCCGTTACCGATCTGCTGATGTTATTCTTAAAGATATTGTTGATGTAGTTGCAATTCGTCTTAGGGGCAAGACCATAAATCGACTTGATAATACTAACTTCTTTCTTTGTAATGCTTGGGGTATAGTCTAGCCAATCTTTGGTTGTGTAATTAAGCTGTCTTTGTATTGTTGATTGGTTGTGAAGACACCTAATTTCATCCCTTTTATTTTTATAATATACTTTTGATTAATATTGCAAAACTATACTACATATTTATATTTTATTTATATTTTTATTTATTTTATTTTTTGTGTCAGGCCCAAGATCGGTTTATACGGGGCCCAACAAGATGCCCTAGTCCAACCCAAATCCTAAACATACACACGAGCTAGGGTTTCCAGCTAGCATTCCAAGCGGCGCTGCATCTGTTGCCTCAATGCTCGGCCGAGTCCCTTGGTCAAGCATTCAAACGCCACGACAACAACCCACCGAGTCCACTGCCGGGTTTCTCGCCTCAACATCACCAACACACCAACAAACACAAGATGTCAGTGTTTCATTTGGAACGAAACTCCTAGTTATTTCCATTATAAAAACATGTAACTAGGACACAGAAAAAGGAGAGCACAAGATTTACAGAGAGGGGAGCACAAGATTTACAGAGAGGAGAGCACAAGATTTACAGAGAGAGTTTACACGTGAGCCCATACACAGTCATTTTCACACAATTTCACACACACGAGATACACAAGCATTACGAGAGGGTACACAAGAAAACACAGGAAACTAGCAAATCTCTTGTAAATTTCGAAAGAGAAATAAATAAAAGGTATCGCTTTTACCTTTGTTTGTCGATTCGGTTCCCTTGCACTGCTTGCATGCCGCTATTGTTGAGTTTTTGAATCACCAAGAACCATTCGGCCGAGGAACGAAAGGGAGGCCCTTTGTTTTTCAAAAAGAAAAAATTTCAGATCTACGTTTTCTCTAGTCGATTTTTGAAAAACAATCTTTGTTTTTAGAAAGGAATTCCAAAAAGCTTTCGAGATTTCAAAAAAATATATAAAAACGCGAGTTTTGCCGCCGATGAACGATGGCCGGCGCCGTTTAACGGTGACGGCGAGGCGGCGTACGGTGGCCGTGTTCTGGGTTCATCGAGACCCACGGCTGTGTTCTTCATCCTCGATGAACTGAGGAGAGGATGGAGAGAGGGGAAGAAGGGACATTTCGGCGAGAGAGAGGAGGATGAAATGAATTTCAAAGCGTTTGGTTGAGTTAAATGCTGCGTGTTTCTGTTATATTAAGGGTAAACTATGCCTTGTGACCCTCTGATTCCTAAAACTTCCATTTTACCCCCCAAATCCGATTTTTAAACCCCATTCTCTTTTGAATTCGACCTTCAATCAAGGTTTTCTTTCAATTTAGTCATGTTACTTCGTTTTTATTTTTATTTTATAATAATTATTATTATTATTTTTAATATTATTACTATATATATATATATACGCATTTCATATTTTATTTTTATATTAATACTTTTTGTTACGTTTTACAAATTAGTATATATGTATATATTATTTTTAATTTAACTATTACTATTATCTTCTTTTTACTAATTTATATATATATATATTTGCGTTATTATTACTATATGTATACTTTTTTTTCTTCATTGATTATTTTTGCTTAATATTATATTTTAATATATATATATATATATATATATATGTATATACTTATAATAGTTTATTTATATATCTATTATTATTATGTGTACATTTCAAACGTTTTTATTCGATTACCTTTTTTCTTTACTTTGTTTTTATTTCTTTGATGATCACCTTTTTATTCATTGTATTTGTTTATTCATTGGTTGTATGTAGATTATTAATATTTCATTTATTTAGTTTACTCTGCTTATTAACCCTTTTTTTTCTCTATTTTTATCTTCATTCTTGTTTCCTTTATTTTTCATTTTTTTTTCTATTTTCGTTCTTTAACGTCTTTATTGTTAAGGGAATTTCAATCAGTCAAGGGTAAGTAGTTCAGATCGATGTTTTACCTTTTAATTTAACTTTCAATTCTCTTAATTAAAGACAACTGGAAATTACATAGTACCGAAAGGGCAGTTCAAGGGTGCTAATCCTTCCTTGGCTGTAATCGACTCCCGAGCCCGACATATTTCCGGTAAGACGCAGATCAGGTAAGAAATAGGGTATCCGATCAACCCATTTATTTTTAAATAAATGATCGGTGGCGACTCCAATCCACATTTTTCAAGTCGAAGCCCAATTCCGGGGCCCAACCGAAAGACGGTTGCGACAGCTTGGCGACTCCACTGGGGACACAGGTAAGTGAGTCAGGCTAAGGTAATTACCAGTTGTCTTTTTAACGAAAAGGGTAAGTTTAAATTTTAAGGTAATATTTCGATCCTTATTACTTATTTTTGATTATATTTTCGAGTAAATAGTTGGACTGACCGTTTTCTAATGATTTCAGCTTTCCAAACATTTTCATCTAAGGCTCTAAACCCGAGCTCCGAACCCGTTTTAAGTGGGGGTGAAAGCGACGCCTTCGTGTGAATTTATTCACCGTATGGGCCTAGCAAGTAGCCTTCGGGATTCATATACCTTATGCCTTCGTGTGAATTTATTCTCCGTATGGGCATAAGGGAATGTGTCCTCTCGAGTTTAACTTAGTCCACACAAGCCTGTGATGGGTTTCGGACTAAGG